AGGGGATGGCTAGTAATGTATAAAAAAGCCACTAACACATTATAAAAACTTGGCACGATGCTACATTTCCTTTGACCACTTGGAGTGCCTCTGGTGTGGCTGTAAGGAGGCCCTCCATTGTGCATGTGGCAGGACTCAGGCTGCATTGCAGTCAGTGGTCTTCTCTGCACTCACATGCCGTGGACTCCACTTCGTGGCTCCATTTCTTAAGGTTGGCTCTGCATCTCGTGGTCCCAGGGTGCAGCCTGTTCAGTGCCTTCCAAGTCACCCCGTCTTCAGTATGCCCGGGGGGAATCTCTCATCTAGAATCAGCCACTGACTTAAGGTTTGGGGTTGTATTTTGTTTTCTAATTTCGCTGGGGAGGGAGTTCCATAAGCAAGGGGCCACCATTGCGAAGGCCCTGTCTTTCGTCCCCACCAACTGCACCTGTGACAGGGGTGGGACCAAGAGCAGGGTCCCCCCAGAAGATCTTAACCCCCAAGGTGGATCATAGAGGGAGAGGCATTTGGACAGGTAAGCTGGGCCAGAACCATTTAGCCTGCCACTTTTGGACTCTCGCTTGCTGGGGTGTAACTGCGAGTATCTCTGTAGATCTTGGGTAACTGTTTCTTAAGCATTGGTTTGCCGGCTGATATCCAAACAGAGGATGAGCCAGATATGTCAGTGCCTTGGTCCTTTCATTGGTGGAGTTCAGAATGCTCTTTGATTGTAAGTAAACTATAAACCCCAGCAACTACGACTCCCAAATGACAAAATCAATTTTCTTGTGTGATGGTCACTCCTTGGGTTAGTAGGTATCTTGTGGCCAAATTTGGCGGCAATTCGTCCAGTGGTTTTTGAGTTATGTTAATCCCACAAATGAACATTACATTTTATGTATATACACTACCGTACCCTGCCATGCGTTGCTGTGGCCTAGTCTGTGTATATGTGTTTTGTGTGTGTATATGTGTGTGTATATATGTGGTTTTGCACACGTGTTGTAATGTATTTTTTTTTGCTTTTTAAGTCTCTTCCGTGGTGTTTCCCAGTGTTTTTATGAGTGATGGTCACTCATTGGCCTGAGAGGTGTCTTGTGTCCAAATTTGGTGTCGGTTCGTCCAGTGGTTTTTGAGTTACGTTAATCCCACAAACGAACATTACATTTTTATTTATATAGATCTCTATTTCCAAAGTCTGGAGTGTATAAACTGTACTTTTATTCTACCTTATTCTTATAATAGAAACTGTTTAAACTGCATGCAATTTTGTTTATTAATTATAGTTGGCATAAATGCTCACCAGGCTGTTCTCTCTCAATTTATTGAGGTCTGAGTTCCACGTCATCTGGATTTCAAATGCCAGTGTAGATGGGCCTTGAAATAGTATTCTCAGCTATTCCTTCCACTTGCATTTTGCTTTCAAATAAAACCCAGGGAACGATCACAGACATCTCAACATTACGCAACATTTCAGGCTGTCTCCCTATGCTCCTCTCTTACAGAAGCCAAGCTCAGGATCCCTAATTCAAAGTGGATGGGATGGCACCTTGGCTTGCATGCAAAGGCACATCTGTCATGCCAGAGTAGCAACGTTTTCTTCTTTTACCATCTTTAAACTTTACAGGAGATGCAATGTATGCCTGACGAATCCTCCAGAGGCGGCTGCCAGGGTTAACATTTTTAATTTCCTGTTTAATTAGAGCTGGTGATGGGTAAACCGGGCGCTCTATCACCAGTGGCGGCATGTGCTGTAAATTTCGGCTTCATCTCCTCGCTCGAATGACCCTGGAGATTACAACGACATGAATATGAATGAAGTTACTTTATATTTCATCAAGGAGAGAAGCTATCTCTCAAACCAGCATTGCTCGGAGTTTGTTCCTTTGCCTGGAGTTGGCCTTTCTTGAAACCCTTGTGCATTGCGGAAGTTTCCAGGGCATTTTGCACCCAAAAATGTGATTGACTTTGCCACTCTTTTGTGACCCAAGAAGAGCACATGTATCACATGGCTACAGCTGTCAATTGTGGGTAAAGATCCATAAGAAAAGATTGACATGTTTGCTGAGAGCGAGTCCTTGAGTCCACTTATGAGATCTGCTTGAAGGAAAGCCAACAATGGATGGAGAAAGTGTGGTCCTTTGGAACTACAAATCTCATGAGCCAAAGCGAGCTTTCCTAGTGAAGAGGGATGATGAGAATTGGACTGCAAAAGCATCAGGAAAGCTACACTTTCCCTTTCCTTGGACTTGAGAAGCTTGACCACGTCAACAACCAGAAAAGTCTGCCATTGACAAAAGCACAGGTATCATCTACTATGGTATTAAGTGTTTAAGCTTGGTGAGAATGATCTTCCCGAGGTTTAAAATTCAATAGGCAGAGCTGCCTGTGGATGCTGTGAAATGGCATTCCCAAAGGACAAGTGATAACATTGGAGTGGGACTTCGGACCCTTCTACACTGCCATATAAAATCCAAATTATCTGCTTTGAACTTGATTATGGGGTTGTGGTTGTGCAAAA